GGGGTTTGGGGCAGGGGTGGGGAAGGGGGAAGGGGTGGGCAGGCTGTATACGGGCAGGCGGGTTGCACAGGTGGCGGGCTGCACGGGCGGGCGGGTGACGGGTGGGCACGCTGCACAGGTGGATGGGCTGCTGGGGCGAGGGTGGAGTTAGTATTTGCATACAAATTATGCACTCACGCAAATTGAAGTACATGCGAACCTTGTGGATTAGCAATACGAAGTTACGAACCCATAAGTTCAGAGTGCAATGAAATCAGATGCGCAAAGAAAATGAGGAAACACTGTGGATGAGCAGCACCCCGTCCACATGGTGCTGCCTTGCCCACATATTACCACATGGTACCTACCGCCTGGCTGTGCCAAGGGCCGAGTTGTGCCTGTTTCTTTTTTCTGGGGCGCCATGTGTGTGTGTGTGTGTGTGTGTGCGTGTGTATTGTTTTTTGGTGGCTGTGTGTGTAGTTGGACCATCCATCCAGTGGACACAGTATGACCTGCCGCCCAAAACCACATAGTATCACCGTGGCCACGTAATACTTCCCGTACCCCACCTCTTATCTGTGCAGCGGGCGGAGCCGTGGAGGGCAACCACTTGTAATAATAAAGGGTATTGCTTGCTATGACCTTCCTGACCAGTTTAACATGTCCAAAGCTTGGTAAGCAATGCCATGTATTCCAATCTCCATGACCGGTTCAGGACGACCAAATCCTGATCAGCTCGGTGCGGCAACTTTTCTCAGTAAGGGCGACAGCTTTCTCCAGTCGATGTGATAGCTTCCTTGCGAGTTACTACCGTCTTCACCCGAATAGAACGCCCGGTCATTATCGCTGCATCTGGACTGAAAAGTGCACAAAATACGGCTCCAATGACCGGGCGTTCTATTCGGGTGAAGACGGTAGTTCAGGTTGTGAGTGACTAGAATACAGTGACCGGCCCAGCTAGTGTGGCAGAATTTTCAGGACAGATTCCGATCACGGTCGTTTGTGGCAACATTTTGGGACAACTTTGTGTGGCAGCTTTCTGCAACTGCTAGGTGACCGGGGACCTGAGACACATTTTGTTCGCAAGTGGAGACCATTGCCTTGTGACCAGTGATGGTCCTGTGCTAGTGGGCTTGCGGGGTTTCTGGTATGCCCCAGTGTGGGAGATTGGAGGAGGTGTTTGTGTTCAGGCACTCGTATTAGCAGCCTTTCTTTGTTTTGTGGTTAAGGCAAGGGAGAATGGGCGCTCGCAGGGAAACCTACTACAAAATATGCTAGTATACTGTCACTGAAGACAGCAATTGAAGGAAGGTTTGGCCCTACGTATTGAGCCTAACCCTGACCCATTTGTGAGTTCAGGAACGTAGGACAGGGAACCGACATGGTTCGGCAAGATTTTGTGTCATTGACTTCTTCTTTTTCCTTTTTCTGGTGTTAAAGGCGCTTGCCAAGGCGTGACTATCGGCGTGGCGAATGTGGTGCGGTGTTCTCCAATCTGTGCAGGTGGATAGTCTCAGCAGCGATCAAGTGACCGATGCATCTTTCATTTCCGTCGCGGCAAATTGCAGGAAACTAGAGGTGCTGAAAGTGAAGGTGTGCAAGGGGCTGACAAATGAAGGCCTCTCCGTGGTCGGTTCGTGCTGCAGGCGTCTGAGAATGCTTGTACTTACTTGCTGTGATGAAATATCGAATGTGGGGATAATGGCCGTCGGGAAAGGATGCCCTCGGTTATCTGTGCTGGTTCTTGTCCGACTTGGCGGCAAGATAGATGACGGGTTGTTAGCCATTGGAGCGGGGTGTCCTCGTCTTCAGGTTCTGGATGTCAGTTACTGTAGCATTTCTGACGTGGCGATCCAACAGATCGTCTGTGGTTGCCTCCTGTTGGAGGCAATTACACTTGAGAGTTGTGCGGGCATGAGCGCATTTGGACTGGTGGCCATTTTGCGGGCTTGCAGAGGGCTTCGCCAACTGCGGATCAGCCCGCCGGAAAACCGGAAAGGCCTGGGGCCTTGCATTGAAGGTCACCGGTTTGTTGGTTATGCGGCCCTCTCATGGCCTAGTTTTGTTCTGCATAATCCATCGATGCGGGATATTGCCGACGACTGCGGATTAGCAGAGAGAGCGTGGAGTGGCATTTTTGATTTGGGAGGAATGACAGACTGGGAGAAAATGGGAGAGAGGGAGGGTATGGGTGAAGGCGGCGGTGAGCAGGACGTTGGGCTGGAATGGATGGATCTGGAGGAGCCCTCGGGTGCGCTCGCCGTACACCAGAAAGCCACTGACAGAATCCCAGCACTTGCCCAGGACCAAGCAGACAGAGCAGGACATAAGAACGATCCCACTCTTCTTGCTGTGTCTTCCCGGCAACCAAACGCCGAGCTTCCGGAAGCAGGCGTGGATGCCACCGACAGCATTGTAGACACTGCTGGAGTTGATGAGATGGAACAAGAGGAAGGGTTGGCAGTTGGGCGGACGTTGGATGAGAATGGGGACGTCCCGGTCCAGAAGGAGAAGGGAAGACTGACAGTTTGGACAGATGATGAACGAGAAGACAACGACCGGGACAGAGAGAGCGCTATGCGAAGATCTCGTGCGGAAATTTTTTCAACTGAAGACACTTCAAGGCCGCATCGTGGTCGACTGCAGGAGAACACGCAACAGTAGTCTGGGAGATAGATGACGACCGGGAGATAGTTTGGACAGACGATCAACGAGAAGATGACCACTAGTTTGGACAGACGATCAACGAGAAGATGACCACTGGGAAGATCAACGAGAAGATCACGACTGGGAGATAGTGCTATGCGACAATCTCGTGCGGAAACGGTTCAAGGCTGCATCATGGTCCACCGCACGAGAACACGCAACAGTAGTCTGGGAGATGGATGACTACCGGGAGAGATAGTTTGGACCCACGATCGGCGAGAAGATGACCCACTGGGATGATCAACGAGAAGATCACGACTGGGAGATAGTGCTATGCGAAGATCTCGTGCGGAAATTTGAGCCGAAGACGGTTCAAGGCTGCGTCATGGTCCACCCAGGGGAACACGCAACAGTAGTCAGTGCTTGATCATGCCTTTGTCGGTGGATTGTTCTTTCCTTTTTTCGATTTCTGCTCGCAAGAAGTCAGGGCATCATCTTCGTCAAAACAGCGTCTGCAGAGTTGTCTTTGTTCCCCACTTCAGGTCTGCGTCTTGAGAGGTGATGGGTGACGAAGGGTTGGGCGAAGTGCGAGGAGTGTGTTAGTGCATTAACCTACGAGAGTCTGTTGCGGGCATTACGCAGGAGAGATGTGGGTATAAAAGCTCAAGTTCCGTCCGCATACAGAAGGGGGTCCATGCGAAATCAGTGTTTTTGGTTTCTCTTTTCACATTGTGAGAGTTTTGTTAAGTTGCAAATATGGAGGATATGGGCCTCGCTCCACTACTCAACATTCGAAGTTGGAACATATCGGAGCTCTGAAGAGTTTCCGATACGTTTTGTATGCCGTGTAGTGGAGCGAGGCGCTCGGTCGGCGATTCAGAAAGTCGGATTGAGAATTAGACTGCGGGAATTAACACGTTTGCTTGCTCACACACCCAAAGGGCATCATGCATCTGAAAGAGTAAGCTCCTGCTCACAAGCTTGCATGCCCTTCTCGTCGGTGTGGGATGTTGCAAACAGAGGTTTATAAGTAGCAATTGCGGTTGTGCGAGGAGAACACTGCGAGTGAGGGGGGGGGTATTCATAGTCTTGTGTCGGAGGCACATTGGCGAAGGACAGAGAAGGGATTGATCGAACAGCTGCAGTGGTCAGGCGGTGAGCGGAGTCAAAAGTTTGCCAGTGGCTTGGAACAAAGTCTGGCAGCAGAAAGAGAGAGATTTGTGGCGGATGGATGGAGGAAGGAAAACAGGAGGACGAGGAGGAGGACGAGGAGGAGGACGAGGAGGACGAGAAGGAGGACGAGGAGGAGGACGAGGAGGGCGCGGGGGGAGGAGGAGCAGGTGGTGCTGATGACGATGTTGATGTTGCGTCGTGTTGCTTAGTGAGGGAAGACAAAGCCCACCAGCGTCTTGGAACAAAGTCCAGCAGCAGACAGAGAGTGAGACGCTGCAGATGGATGAAGTTGACGGGAACAGCAGCAGCAGCAGGAGGAGGAGGAGGAGGAGGAGGAGGAGGAGGAGGTGGTGCTGCTGGTGGTGACGGCGATGGTGATGTTGCATCTTGTTCATCTTCCGCAACACTGATTCTTAGTCGGTTGGACAGAGTTGTGGCAGATGAAGGAAGGGAGTGAGGCAGCAGAAGCAGGAGGAGGAGGAGGAGGAGGAGGAGGAGGAGGAGAAGGAGAAGGTGGTTATGATGATGGTGGTGTTGCAGCTGGCTGATATTGGGTTATGCTTATTCCTCAACGGCAAGGAAAGTTCTCCGAAGCTCAGTGTTTTGGCTGGTGTTTGGAGATTCACTAGCTTAAGGGAGGGTTATTTTCATTATTATTACATTCATTTCAGCCGCAGTATTTTCTGCAGCGATCTTTTTGTTGGTTTTTCGAATTCTGAATGAAGAGATATATGATTTTGGGAATTATTTATTAACAGAATGTACAGCGTTTGCTATGGCTTGGACATTCCACAAGGCAACTTTCCAGTTTCATGACGTTCTCCATTTTAAGATTTACCATATCTAATATCTATACATTCTACGACGGTTCCAGTATATATTCTCTGCAACCTCCATGAATCTTCCAGTGGCACGTGCGTCCTGATTCATGACGAGCTTTCCGTGAAGCGTCTTCGCATCATCCATGAATCATCCATGAATCTTCCATGAGTAAACCATTGAGAGTTGTGAATCATCCATGCGTTAAACCACCAGTACACGGCCGGCCGGCCATACTTGGGGGGCTGCGGACCCCTCACCGCTAGTAGTTTTGGACGCTGACGATTGATGAAATTTTATCGACAGCACGACGCCCCCGAACTTTTCTGGAGTCGGGGACGAGTTTCTTTCCTACAAGGCTTGGGCCATCGACTACCGTCTTCACCTAGGCTACCAGCCGGGCCGCCCAGGTCCCGGGTGGCCAGCCCGTGCAAGGACCAGCGAAGGTCTCAGCAAAAAAAAAAAAAAAAAAAAAAAAAAAAAAAAAAAAAAAAAAAAAAAAAAA